GGCCAGCACATACCTGCCATAGCCACTCTGGCAAGAGATTTCTTAATTGGTCTTTTTCAGTCTACCAGCCACCAAAACCAATGAAGCAAGACAGCAAATGGGAAAGAAAAAGGCGTGCATGGCGAATAAAAGCCCAGGTTATTTTCCTAGCCAGTCAGCAGCAGCCCGGATGCTTGGCTCGGCACTGGATGGGGACGCCACCGTGCTACCCCGTTTCAGGCATCGCTCTGTGGGAGATGATTGTGGCGGCGCTCTCTGCATTCACTGCACAAAACCAGGTGACAAAAAAGGGGAGCCAGAAATCTCACTTGCGAGCAGGTCTGTATTTCAGGCATCCAAGACAGACAGTCACATTATACGAGGCAGCTGGGTGGCCCAGAGCTAACGTAGTCTGACCTTAGATCTGTGGACCATACAGATTACAACAGGAGATACGACCCATGCCCTGGCAGCTTCCTTCCCCCTTTCCCCACAAAGGATGGGGGGGGGAAAAAAAAAAAAAAAAAAAAAAAAAAAAAAAAAAAAAAAAAAAAATCACAATCCCAGCCCGTGAATGTCACAATTCCTGCCGCGAAGCCGACTGTAGCAGAACTATGCTTCATTCCTGAAGCTGCGCAGAGGAACACGTGATATATTACCTTATACACAAGGCAGTACAGCCATTCTATAAAGCATTCGTTTGTGCCACTTGCAGGTGAATGTACAGTGACAGATAATCTACCTCCAGAAAGACACGACTGCTTCAAAGGTAAAGCCACAGAGATCATATTAAGATGACAGAAAAAGAAGTCTTGTGAAGAAAGAGAACTGTCTTCATTGCACTGGGAAACTACTGACCCTGATTAGAATTGACTTACAGCGGCAGGAGCATTCCTGAAGTCTGGAAGTGCGACTAACATTACTGAAACACCTGGTTTTCATCTCATTATATGACAGCAAACTGAGGTAGGAGTAAACTGAAATAACCAAGTTCTATTTCATAAACCCTCCGCCTCAGGAAACTACTGAACTTGTTTCCCAGACCTGAGCAAAGCCAGCTACATACTCGCCCCGACGTACTCGTAAGGCTCATCGTGACCTGGGAAACATGTCTGACCTGCTGCAAAGAGCACGCTCTCCTCCAGGAAATACAGTTCTGAGCTAGCATTTTAACTGCCAAGGACATAAATACTTCATTGCCATGAATATTACCTTCATTGCATCAAGCGCCAGTTTCAGATTCGCCTTCTCCGTGGGGTCTGTAGTGTGCTTGACCAGCTCCTGCGGGCAGAGCAGTTGAAACTTTTCACCCGCTGCCCGACAGTTTATAAACTGAAGTTGTCGCTGCTCATCCCCACCACCCCCAATAAAAAGCAAAAAGCCAAAACCAGAACACACAACCCAAGAACTTTCACTTTCATCCCCATAGGGACCTACCTGTAGCTGAGCGGGGGCTACTGCAAACAGGTCAGTGTTTGAGAGCGGCTGCTGCGTGGCACAAACACTGGCTTGAGCTAATAAGGAGCCCTCATTAGACGCTGATTTGGTCTGCCCAGCACCTCAAGCTTGCCGGGCAGATCACCGCGGTAGGCGCACGCCGCAAGCAGAGGTAAGCAGCGAGCCCACCTGCACGCCACTGCACGGCGCGGCACCCGCTCCAAAGCACGCACTGGCCCGCGGAGAGGCACGTAGGCTGGCAATAAAACCTCAAGTCGCCAACTGCTTAGGAGAAGCCCCTGTCTCATTACACCCAAGACAAAGCTGACACAGAAAACATTTAAATTAAATGTAAAAGTTTAAAGAATTTTTTTAGCCACTTCCCATATGGAAAATAAAGGGGCTTTTTTGGGTTTTATCAAGTGAAAAAGTAACCCTGGGAAAACAGGTTATTTCTTCTTCATCATTTGAGAGAATTATACATTTCAGCTAACATAGTAACTTGCTAAAATCCTAGGAAATAAGTATTTATACTTCACATTACAATTCTAGCAATTTACTCCATTTTTTTCTTTCGAAGTCTATAAAATATTTCCTTCTTGTACAATGTATACTATAGCGTCGGGCATTAGAACACTGTGACATAGTATGTCATCTTGTCATAACATACAGGTTGATTATAAAATCATAACTCAGATCTCATAAGGTTTTTTAAAAAACAGTTGTACCATTCATTTTGTTTTTTCCAATTTTCCATTGATCAAAATATTAATGACTCATTTACAGAAATACTTCAAAAAATGTGGTATTACAGAATGTATGTTGCTCTGCAGAGTCAAAATTATGCTTCACATCCAAGCAGTAGATCTTTTTAAAACGACATTTTACAAGCATCAGCAGGGCTGACAGTCTAATACAGTAATATATTTCTTTGCAGCTGAACTAATGAGTCTCCTGGCACAGCTATCAAATTAAATTTATAAGACTCTCCACCCTTATTACAGGACTAACTGCAAAAGCTAACGCTTTGTGGGTTATAACAAGAAGTATTTTGAAATAAATATGGCTTTATTGTAATTTATGACAGCAAAGAAACATCTTAAAAGTATGCTGTAAGTATGGTCCAGCTTCCTCTTTTGGGGGGTAATGGTTCACGTTTCAAAGTACCGTGATCACGGCTGGGTAGTACGAACCCTTTTAAACACCCAAGAATGAAAGGTGCAGACACTGAGGAAACACCCGGGGCTTACTCTGCTTTCCCCAGGTGTGCTTCAGCTCGGAGGAATGACCTCTGCAAGAAAACCCACATCTGACTGGGGTTTATTTCGTAACAAAAGAGCCTCCAGTCTATGGAAATGTCAATCACCCCCCTTTGATAAAGGCCTTTAGCTCTCATTCTTACAATCCACTGATGATAAACAATCGCGGTTTTGCTCTCACCCCCTTAAATTTCAAATACAAAATACCTGGAGCAGTAGGTGATACTTTAGCACTCTCTGCATTGGAACCACTAGAAGATCCCGCAATGTAAACTTCCCGTTATTGGCCCTCTTGGAACATTCCTAGTTCAAAGCAGAAGAAAGAACAAGACAAGAGAGTTAGAAAATAAAAATATTCAAGTGATACAAGTGAAAATTCAATGATATATGGGCCAAGGAACTACATTAAGTGTGAGATAAAGAATATCAACAAAACCAAGGAAAACAGTATGGCAACAACAGCTAAGCGAAAAAAGACTGGGTCTGGACACTTGTTCTTAGCTATTTCAACAGCATGAGACAGGGTAGAATAAACATCACAAAGGCAACAGAAATTAGGCATTCCATTGAACTAACTAAACTAACAAAAAATAAATAAATGGAAAAAAAAAAAAAAAAGACATTGCCTACAAGCACAGCGAAGGCAGCAAATATTAAACCTATCTTCAAAAACAGCAAAACATGATCTTGGAGACTACAGGCCAGTCAGTCTCACTTCTGCCCCTGCAAAAAGTATGGAGCAAGTCGTCTTGGAAGCAATTTCTGGGCACACGAAGGTGAAAGGGAAAATTCAGCATGGAGTTACCACAGGTAAATCAATGCTTGACCTACTTGACTGCTTTCCACAATGAAATGGCTACATCTGTGAACGGGTGGGGAGAGTCTGCCTGAGCTTTTCCAAGGCTTTCAGCATCACCACCCACAGCATCCTGATATCCAAGTTGGGACGTTATGCTCCAGACAAATGAAACACCAGGTGTATGAAAAACTGGCTAGATCATGAGGCTCAAAAAGAGCAGTGACCAATGGTTCCTGCACTACCTGAGGGACAGCTGCAAGTAGAGCTCCTCGGGGGTCTGTCCAGGGACCCCTCTCATTTAATAGCTTTAGCAATGATCTGCAGGAAAAGACAGAGGACACCCACAGCAAGTCTGCAGACAAGACCGGGTTGGAGGTGCAGGAGACACTATACAGCGCACGTCCAACAGCAACCTCGCATGAAGGCAGCAAGGACAAAAGCAAAGTCCTTTCTTCACCAGGGACACACTAACCCCGAGGGCTGACCAGCTAGGCAGCAGCTCTGCTGGACAGGACCCAGGGGTCACGGCAGACAGCAAGCCCTGCCAGGCTGTGGGACCAGGGCTTGTTCAGCCTAGAGGTCCCTCCCAGCCTCAGTGATTCTGCAATCCTGTGCTCTCGGCTGAGATGTCACGATAAACAGAAGGGTACTGCTGGTGATCGCTTCCCAAAAAACCCCTAACCCTACTGATGTCAGTGGCAAAACTCCATTCACTTCAGGGCCAGGATATGTACCACAACAGCTCACGTACTATTTAATCAGAGGCTCCAAAGAAATTAAAAGGAAGAGAAACACATTCACGTATCAGTCCAGCTGGTTTTTCACCATAAAGCTTTTGACTTGGATGAAAGCAGAGCATACTCATAGGAACATGAAGGTTTATATATACATATATATATAGGTTAAAAAAATACTGATACCTCTAACTTCAATTTAACATCTTCTTTTGTCTTAGAGATGTTGTCTAAGCACGATATCGCTATCTCCACTTGACTGCAGTACTGTCCATAAATAACCAATCTAAATCAAAGCAAGAGATAAAGAATGAAAGGAACGCTCACTTATTTAAGAACAATCCTTGATCATTTTTCACAAATACATTGTTCACAATCCTCCCTTCAAAAGGAACGGTGCCTGAATAAACAAGGATAGGATTTAGCCAGGGACTTCAATGGGCAGCATGAATACAAGGAAGAATATTCAGGAGAACGCAATTTTGATCTGCGTTCAAACTGCTGTACAATCACTGCAGTCTCCTTTCACATTCGCAGGTATACATTCTGATAAATACAGGATTCGTTAAAAAGCAGTGTAACTGCTGTTTAACAGAACAGTCTGCAGCATTTACAACACAGTAGATCTCCAAGGCCATAATGAGTAAATACTGCAAACACGGGCTTAACAGGATTAATGACCACTATCCTTTAAAGAACCTGTAGGTTACCCAAACCGATCCATCTCCAGAAGTTCCTACCAGGTTACGTCCCGTGCGCTCTCAGATCACAACAGCAGTGCATGAAAACCTCAAAAAATGGTCAATCATTGTCAAGGGCAGCAATGCTTCTTGAAGGACCCTGGGTTTATGACAGGAGGTTTTTGCCCCTCTTTGGTGTCCTTCCTTCTGCTGGTCCCAGTGCAAAGAGTGCTGTTCCACCTTTTCTTACATTTCCTGAGGTGATTCCTTCCGTATGATTCAGATCCCTTCTTTGGGGGTTCCCAGGAGCTTTCCATTGGGGTCTCCTAAATTTCTTTTTCTCTTGCCTAACCTTTACCATTCTTTTTTTTTCTGTAATTCTTTGTTCCCAATTAAAGTGATTATACTGATTTAACACCACTTCTGATTACTTTTAATCACTACATGATGAAGACACGAAGTCTACCTCCATATGTTTCCCTTTTGTATAGTATAAACTTGAGGTTTCTTCTCAGTGTCCCTTGTTCCACGTTCAGCACACATTTCAGAACGACTTTTGAAAGCCAAGCATTTCCCAGCACAACTTCTTCTTGGCCCCTAATCCCTCCTACAGCAGTAGGAAGTCTAACAGCCCGGGAAATAACTGTGCCCTGCTTCAAGATGAAAGCTGGGACAGAGGACCTCTGAAGGCCAGACTGTTTACGGGCAGCCTGGGACACCCTCCTCCCTCAGGAAACAACTCTCCTGCCTAATGTTTTCGGGATGCTGCTGTCCAATTTCTCACCAGCTTGTTATTACTGCAACAACCCTCCCTCCCCATCACCCTCAGAGCAAGTCCAATTAGCTCCCACAGGTCTTTCCCGCTCCGGGGCCAGAAGGAACTCATTTTTAACCACAACCCAAGGTCGGTCAGCACCGCGGCCCGCAGCGCAGGTGTTTCTCAGCCAAGCACCACAGACATGTCGGCTCACCTACACAGTCCAGCAGCCTTAGCGCTGGCAGAAATAACAGCCTGAAAAGGTGGGTTAAAAATTTGGCAATTAGCCTGCAGAGCATGGCACGATGCCATAGCTATCTTGTTATGAGCTCGACTATCTTCTTATCAGCCCGGCTGTCTTGTTATCAGCTCAGCTACCTGGTGTTGCTGCCCGGCTATCTGTGGGCAGAGCTGTTTGCTTTGCCGTCACACCTCTGCCTGCAGGGCAGGCTAAGGCCCTGGTCTCTTCTCTCTTCTCCTCTGCGCTTGCTTTCTCTTCTTTCAAGTTATGACCTCTCCAGTTTTCTTTAGCATGGAATAGCCTTAATATATATCCTTGCCTTATTTTGCCCCTTCTGCCCCTTTTATAACATTTGTTAAACAATACCGGTCCATGCTATAAAACACCTGGCATTGTTTGCATGACAAAAATGTTGTGCAAAACAAGTTATTTAAGTTTTGTTCAAAATATAGGTGCTACCTGTCCATGTACCAGGGGTAAGAAGAGGGGGGCTCATACAGGAATACGTTACATTTGGACTCCCAGGCCCAACGCACCAAACCCTGGCTTGGTCAGTACACGGACTCCAAATTCAATCCTCTTTCAGAAATATTCATCAAACAAAAATACGGTAAAACAGTTCACCAAATTGAGCATAGATTATCACAGTTGGTAAGGGTACATAAATCTTACCTTTCCTTGTAGTTAATGAAAATTTGATACAGGTTCTGATCAGTTTTGTTAGCGATGGAATCATTGATGTCCTGCGTTAGATTCCTGTGAATTTTCACCAAATCCTTAAAAACAGCAATGAGGAGGGGGAAAGGTTTTTAAACACAGAACGGCTTAAAGCTTTGAACATAAAAATAAATTATTTCATGTTAGATCCATTAATTTCAATGAATTGGAAAACAGATCATTTGAAAGTAGAACCTAATTTCAAGGTTTGCCACATCTTCCATACAGTGCGACAGGAAAAACTGAACTCCCAAGCACTACCTATTAGAGACTAATTTATTCTAGCCTGGAACGTGCACCGTTAATTCATCTTCATTTTATAATGATAATTTTAAAATTAAGCAAGTCAAGTAAATGCTTTAGTGACAAGATAAAGTAATGATTCATGTCCCTGAGCTGTGAAAAATTCGTTTTGTACATTACATTGGTCAATTAGTGATGTTCTAGTGCTAAGTTAACTGCGCTCCTAATGACTTTCCCAATACAGCAGGCACCTAATGGCTGAGAGGAAGCCAAGAACACTGCAGACAGATTGGCTCCCTGAGCGTAGCAGCAACTTGCCTTACTTGGGCACTGGGATACCAAAATCTGTAAGCAGCTATAGGAGATTGCATCAGCCTTAGCGCTGTATGGATACTGTCAGAGAACTCGCAAGAAATCAAGTCAAAACAGGTTAAAAAGTTTTGAAATCAGGACAACGGGCTGTAAGCAGCATGCAGACTACTGCAAGGACAGGGAGGACTGTTTAAAAATAAAGCCATTGGAGATGGTTCAATGCAGTACATTATATACTGCAACACAATCCGCAATATTGAGCTGAGAACCAAGGGAAAACATTTCCCTTGCCACTGATGAGAACTACGAGCACACACAGGTCCATCACCACACCGCCGCACACCAGGTCAACCACCACAACACTGGGATCAAATTCAGTTGCTAGCAACTGTACAGCCCTGTCCTCGGAATCTCAGCTTGCAGCAGGTGAAGACGTTGCCACAGAAATGCTTCCCGATTAATGTATGGCAGGAGCACGACTCCTCAGGAGTGCACAGGGACTCAGCTAAGCAACACCCCTGAAAAACAGCTTAATGCTAAGGGCACAAAATGCCTTTCTGAGCCTCTGTCTCCAAAGTCACATTTTAAATTAAACTGATGTTAATGTCATTAGAAATGAATGAAAGCTCCAACCCTCCAGGACCTGTCACGCATACTGCCACCGCCCTTTCCCTCTGCACGTCTGTACATGTATCTCAACTCAAATGCATGCATAGGTGTACATACAAATGCACCTACGTGTGTACACACAAATGCAAATATATGCACATAATATATACATAGACATATACATACAGAGACACACAACAAGTATAGACCCATACGTACATTTTAGAGGACAAAACTTTGAAACCTGAGCCCTAAGGAAAGGCACTCTCTTTAGACTGGGAGTAGTTTGGGGTGCTTGATTTGGGTTTGTTTTGGTTTTTTTTTTCCTTAAAAATAAACTATATTTTGCCATCAGCAGATGATTCTGTCCAGCAAACATCTTTCAGAGTCTATATAAGGAACACAGCAACACCCTAAACCACCGGTCCTTCACCACAGCCCTTTGGCAGAGGCCAATCGAACCTGTTCTGAGAACACCACGCTTGCTCTCCACATCGCACTTTGCTGCAGAGCTCTGTGTCACAGCTATTTTTATTTTAAAACAAGCTTCCACTGCCCTCCAGCCTTCCTGCTGCGGAACTGCTGCAGAGACAAGCTCTGAGCAGACAAAGCTTTTGCACATATTTTTGGCTAGGGCAAGCCCTATATTTCTTTCAACGGTTTTGGGTGCCTATGAAATGCAGCTGGAGTCAGAAACCAGCACCACCTGGTAACAGCAGAGCACTGGACGCTGACCATGAAAAGCAAAGCAAAACAATCTAAAAACAGATTCCTACGTGTCTTCCTAGTTTCAAATGAACAGCTTTTGTTCCTTGAACTCCTCTCATCTGATCAATACATTTCTTTAACGAGCCGCGCGTCGGCTGACCTCTCGGTTCGTGCCCACAGCGCGTGAGCCCTTTCGACAGCCCTGCGCGGCGTCTCACGTCGGCTGCCTTTAGGTCTTCCAGCACATGCAAGTCACCGTGCCCAGGCACACAGAGCCCTGGGGAGGAGGTTTGCAGTAACTTGGGTAGGGCACATCAGGGCCTTATTTGCAATGAATTAGAAACATTAATGCCAGACAGAATACAAATTTGTTTTGAAAAGCAAAGGGATCTCTATAGGCAGCTGAGGCACTTCAAGACGACAAATAGCTTATGGATATCTGTGGCAGTGCCTGGGACTAATGTTCAAAGAGAAGGAAATTACAGCAATTGAGATTCAGGGTGAAGACTTTAATAGCAGGACAAATATGGGAAGGTGTCAGATCCCACCATCGCTGTAATAACGCTCGTAATTTAGCTTCTGTCAGGATGGTGCTGGAACAGCAGCTAAAACGTTCTTACACACCAGGTTCCCACAGACCAAGAAAATCCCCAACACCTCCTAGCGCAGCCCTGAGGGCCGGCGGGACATGCCGGAGGTGGCCAGAACAGAGGGGAGCTTTCACAGGCAACACAGGTTCGATGTGGCCGGCGGGCCACGCTCTGCGGACCCTTGCTTTACAACTTGCCTCACAAAAGACCACTCATTTGTCTGTGCTGAGAGAGACTTCAGACCATGTCTGATGTCTTCCTTTAAAGTCAGATAAAGACAAGACATCTGCTGAGTACATCAACTAAAAATATAAGTAACTTGTCATACTACTATGATTATGCCAAAAATAAAATCCTAGAATGGTTTGGGTTGGAAGGGACCCCTAGAGGTCACCCAGCCCAACCCCCCTGCAGCAGCAGGGACACCTTGAACCACATCAGGTTGCTCACAGCCCCGGCCAACCTGGCCTGGAATGGTCCCAGGGAGGGGGCCTCCACCCCCTCTCAGGGCAACCCCTGCCAGGGTTTCACCACCCTCATGGTAAAGAATTTCTTCCTTATATCTAGTCTAATCTTCCTTATATCTAGTCTAAATAAATGGAACAAAGTAGCAATCACAGGAACCTTGAAGATTTTCAGTCAAATAAAGAGGTGTCCTAGATACTTCACAGAGGATTTCCTTATCCTCTCCAGCACCAGAGTCTGAATCCAAAACTGTGAGTTATCTTAGCTTTAAAATGTCTTCAGTGATGACGGAGCCAGGGTGGATAGAAGGATTTGCAGAGCAGCTATAGAAATCCTAATGAAAGTGCCACTCAGCACGCAGTGGCAGGCAACCTACAGGCACAACTCTGTGCTATCACTAAAATGCCAGCATATGTTAGAAGATAACTCATCTATAAATTATGAGTTTCTACAGGTCAAAGATATTCCAGTGTATAACCACTCTGTCTGACACAGTAATACTATTTCTCTTCTCTTATTCCCTCAAGCGGACAAAAAAGGAGATAGTCTGCCCATCCTTTTTTATCAACTACCCTCATACCTACATGAAAGCACCGTGCACCGCATTTCAAATGATCTTTTTGTGCAGTAACCTACAACACAAATATATCATAACCAGCTATGAACCCTGTATCTGTTCATTAAATATGCGATTACTTACAGGAATGTTGATGAAAACAGTATCAAACTCTGATGCTGACAGAAACCTTTTCAATGGCACCATGAAAAACTGCGAGGAAAAAGAAAAGTGTATATACATTGACCATGTCGTTATCTTTTCTAGACTTACAAAACCACTCAAGTAACAATTCGTTAAGTAGTCTCTTACTTTCTCTATCGATTCCAGAGTTTCGGTGTACTTCTCTTCGGTTTGCTTTATTTCAGCAAGACAACAGCTTCTTATGTCATGTTCAGTATATTTCTGCAATTACAACAGAGCCCAGTGTAAGCCATGAACAGGCACCCAACGGGTAACAAGTGCGTTTATTTGTTTAGAATTAAGCAATTAGGGTAACTGCTTCCTGAATGTTTCTGAGTACTGCAGCCTCCAAAATGACGGCAATAACCAAGAATATTTTAATGTTCAATTAGTTGATGACTGTAAGAGTTGTCCTAAAATGCAGCATCAAAGGAATATTATGAGAAGTTAATGTTTAGACATAAAACACTGAACTCTCTGCATGCACTTTGGAAGCTGAAATACAAGGTCACGTTTCATTTACAACCAGACTGAGAAATCTTATTTAAAATACCGAGCAGTTAATAATTCCATTAAACTTAATGGGACTAAATGATGTAAGTAACTTTGCATTGCCATAAATACTGGATTCAGTCCAATCCCTGCACTTATTTACAGCTTTTCCCTTTTAGTTCTCACGGGAGCTTTCTCTTCAGACACAATACAAGTACGTCCTCGAATCAGGAGTGCAGTGACCTCCAAGTTCGGCTCTTGTGTATGTATGTGCGTGTCTTCAACAAGACCCTGGGATTCTTCCGTGTAAACCACCAGACTCATAGGAAATAGAAGTAATTATCAGCACAGGACTCTATAAAAATAGTTGACAAGCACTCTTACTGAGGATCAGATTTACGGTGTTACAGCTTCAGTAACTGGCATGTGTGATTTCAAATAAAAGAGTAAATACCTGGGAGAAGACTTAAAACATCTGGAAACACATAGTTCTCATCTCAAAACCTGTCATTTATTCTCAAATTCTTTGGCAGGGGAGTGGGCACTGTCACAGTTAACCATAGTTAATTAATCTCAATAAAGTGTTAGAATGTGACATTGCTCGGGCTTTAGTTATTTTTTACCTTTGTAAGCTCAATACTGTTCAAACCGCTGGCAGCATTTGCACCAATACAGAAGCTGTTGTACCCAATAGCATTTATATCCATGCGGGGGGTTGTGGTTCACCAACTCTCATATGAACAACGCAAACAAAATCCTGGGATTCCACTTAAAACAACTCACTTCAGGTTTGTGCTCTCCTAATCCAAACAGATCATTCACATAGGCGCTTTTGGCAGAAATGAATATATTAATTTTCTATCTGTGCCACAAAATTCTAGAATTTGAATGCAATAAACAAAAGGTGAGAGGAAACAAGAAATAATGTGGGAATACTAGTACAAGTGAGAAAAATCGCCTTTGAAGGTCAGCTACTGCTAGAGAAAAATTAGCAAAGTTTGCTTCGCGAGGTAATGACAATAAATCAAGGATGAGGGAGATGCAAAGCAATTTTGGCTGCTACTGGAGACTGAAAAGTATCGGGTTCTTCTAAAAATCTACTCAAAGACTGTCTTGTGCTTGTATTTCTTACATGCAAGGAATTCTCGTGTAGGATTCAAATTAAGTAACTGCGCAAAATCGTCATGTTGGCGTGCAGTGTATTTACAAACCCGAGAGGAAATTATCACAAATCAGAAATAATTACCACACTCAAGAAGGCTGTCACAGCAGAACAGCTGTAATGCCACCCTTCATTGCATGTGGTGGAAAAAATATTTTGCTGTACCATGTTTTCAATTTTCATTTACATTCTATAAAAACACAAATACAAGCGTGTTCAACCTGAAGTATCGAGGGTAGGATGCAACTAAAATTAGAACATGAAAGTCTCGATTGCTATATTAATCATTTGCTAGAAACATGGACACACGAGGGTGACATCTGCAACAGGAAAGAAAGCATGAGAGAAAGTTTACCCGCTACCAACGGCCAGCGATTACCCACTGTTACAGTTGAAGGAAATAAAAAAGCCACCCACACTCATTATGTGAAACCCAAAACTTAACGCATTTTGACTTTCAGTAGAAAAAAAAAAAAAAACCAAACTCGAAAACAAGTTCACAGTAAAGATTTCCTATGATTCAAACACTTTTCTGAAACATCCTGCCTGCAAGTGAATGCGACTTCAGTAGATGTAAAGCAGGGTTTTTTCAACTCAATTTTTTATTTAGTTTTCACTGAATAACCTAAACTTTAGGAGTTGAACAAAATTAAACAAAACATGAAAAACTATCACAAGTTTCTGCTTATCTCATCCTTAATTCATGTGCATTACCTGCAGGATTTTGTATTAACAGAAAACAGGCTTGAAAACAACACGGTTATACTCAAAACAACAGAGACTAAACCAAGGCAGCAATCTTCCCAAAGGCAAGAGAGTTACCCCTGGCGAATCACCACAGCAGCCACGAACACAAATCACATCAGGCACCTCCTGCACTTGTACTGAAAAGATGCACAGGGTATACGAAAAGAAAAAGGAAAAGAAAAAAAGTCTTCAGTCTTCTTCATGTAACTCTACTACCAAAAAAGTAGAAGCAAGTTTCCAACTTGAGACAGCAATCGGCACCATACAGCTGCACGTCAATACAGAGGCAGGAAACAACTGTCCTAAAACCCATAGCCTGCCGCGGCCACACACTAACATTCCCCAGAAGGGAAAGCACATCTCTGGGGAAGAGCAGACACATACATCAGGGTTCCTCCCAAACAGCAAGTAAATTTTACTGCCTAAGTTCAGACTTTTTTCCAAGAGAGGTTTGAAAACTGACCATGGTGCCTTTGTATGATCAAGTGAGCAAGGCACTTACCCTGTTCTCAGTAAGACCAACCTGATGATCAACAAAAATCTACATGGTTGAATAAGCAGGAATTTCATTGGTAGGAAACAATTATCCATTGTCCTTGTTAGATTAGTTGTCCAAATTATGGCTGAAAAAACAGCACTTCACAATATTATAACCTAATTTTTGAAGCAGGGCACTTCGAAGTAAACAGTTAATTTAATTGCTCTTAAATAGCTGGTAAATCTTACCATTCCTAACTGGCAGTCTTAACAAATTAAGTAATTATGGTATTTCATTTAAAAATTACATTTCTTCCCAAAAACGACCATCATTAACTTTCGACCCTTTGCCGGAACAGCCTGCAGTCTTACACAGGCGATAATGCACTGCACGTGACAGCGCCAGATGCAACCAAGCCCGAGTGAAGTTTCAGTGAAACTAGCTATAAAGAAACAATTTCACAAATATTAACTTTCAAAAATGTAACTGCTGTTGTTCGAAAATAGCTAGGAACTGGAGAACGTACAGGTTGCTGTGCTGCTTCATCTTTCATTAGGTCTTCGTAAACTTCCCCACCTTCATCTTCTCCATAGACGCAATCATACAACTCCTCATCTTCATCAACACCGGTTTCACTGAAAGGAAAAACGAAACGACAATAAAAGGAAAGCTGTGGAGCACAGGCAAATTACCGTCAGCTCTGCAAGGGACCACTCCTCATAGGAAAAGATTTCCACAGCAAACAAACAGATTAATTAATACAACTATCTCATTAAAAGAACTCATTAAGGGAAATTAAGTCCATTCATTTTCTTTCCTCAATGCATTTAAAATACGATTGTACAAAATCAACACAAGACTGAAGACAGCACGAATTTAGAACCAGTCAGGAACTAAACCAGGCACCAAAGGCAGCTTGTCAGGACAGGTCTGTCCTGAGGTGCTGCTGTCCAGCTGCTCTCTGCTCTTCGTCCCTTTTCCCACCACATCTGGTGAAGAGGAGCTGCCTCTCCTGACCGCCTGGCATCCCCAGCGCTGGAACAGGTATCCTTCCTGCCAGAAGAAAGGATTACCTGGGGTCAAAGACACTGAAGGCTGCAGAGCCAGCAGCTGAGAGTCTGCGCCTCCACACCGTAAGCCAGTATCCTGATCACCTCGTGGCAACCTTCAGCTACCCAAAAATGGAAAAAAGCAACCTTCGCAGTGAAGAACAGATGGTTCAACAAAACGGAATACGCACCAGAAGTGTTCTCCTGTTACCCAGACTGCAGAGATAGCCCAGCATAAAGTCAGTGCTCAGCTCTCCCGTCAGCCAGTTCAGCTTCAGCAGTCAGTCCTGCTGGAGCTTTGCCTGCTTCGCACTGGGACCATATCGAGCCCATAGTATCTCTTGTCAGGGTATATCTACAGAATATCTCTAGAAGATATTGGAAGTAGTCCAGTCATGGTGACACAGAGGCTTGATCAGATGTGATGATAATTGAGATTTTTATTGTTGGAATACAACACTGAAATCCTTCCGAGTGAGAAAGAAATTGAGGCTCGGCCCGGTAGAAGTGGGAAGGACAACGGCTTCCCTAAGTGGATCATCAGTACTCAGGCATGGGACTTCAAAAGGCAGAGACCAAGGATTTCAAAGAAATCAAAATGAGCGGGGATTGCTACCAACACAGCTACCACCGGAGTGCTTGGAGATGCCAGACAAAATCCCTACATCTGCAGTCAGGACTGTATACAGGAACCAAGTGAATTTTTTATTTCTCATTAATATGTACCACCTTTTTGTTGTTGTTTTAATCCAGGACATCAGAAGGATAAAGTAAACAAGCATTAGAAGTTCCAATAGGAGTAAAAAAAAAACCTATTTGGAGGATTCAACAGGAGGCAGAAATCACTCACATCCCTTCCTTTTCCAACAGACACCACGCACCAGCAGAGCTAGAAAGGTGCTCCGGGTTAGTCCGACCTTTCCGCTCGCACCAGCGATGGTGGTGAGCTAGCGCTTCACATCAAACACGAGCGGCTCCATCAGATGCAGCACAGGCACACCCGATTTTACCACCTGTAGCTCCAAGGAACAAAAGCTGGCAAAAAGGCAGAGTAAGGGTAGAAATATTGAACTACTGCAGCTCTTTCTGTCAAAGCACCTGAAATTCATTCTCAATTCCTTAGGCGCCATTTAAACTCAGGGACAACTAGATTTATTTCAGTCAAATACACTTACTAATTAAGATAAACTAAAAGAATGGGCCATTTGCATCATTCACTGGCACTTTTGTTTCTCAGGAAGAGAGTACTTCCTAAATTGCTTCCTCTACATTGAGAGAGCCTGTAACTATGAAACGTCAGCCAACAGTATTTGTGTTTGATGCAGAAGAGCTCCAGATCTCAACTTCCCTCGCAGGATTTGCTAACTTTTTTTTTTTTAATGAAAAACTGTCTCCCCGTACTGAATCTGTGTACCCATTTAAGGACTTACAGAAATGCTATTTTCAAGCAGTGCTGCCACCCCATTCAAGAGATGAGGCCATCACCTCCAGCCCACCTGGGCCTGAGAGGAGCCTGCAGCTCCTACCTTCTGCACGTTGAGCCACATGGCGTGCAAGCAGCTCTCCGAGAGCGCCAGCCAGCTGCAGGAGACAAGGAGGAGCTCTGCAGGGAAGGGATACGTGGAGCGATGCCACCTGCGGTGGGGGTTCTCCTCTTTATAGGTGGTAAGGAACAAATCCACGGTGCAAACAGCAGCCGCTTCTCCACGTCACAGCAAGCGACCTACAGCGTGGCCAGAGCCAGGACAGAGCCAGCGACGGTGAACTCTGCGCTTCAGGACCGTGAGCCCTGATCCTAGCTCTTGCCCACCGTGATTCCTAATGGACCTTGAGAGATCCTAGCCACAGGATAGAAGAGTAGCTCTTCCAGACAGTTTTTTATGCCCAGATGTATTTATTTCTCCAGTCTGCAGAATAAAGCTGCAGTCTACCATTCAATGCGACATAGCATGTTCATGTCTACCTTACTTGTACCTCAAAGCCAATGATATAAATTGGCAATAATTAATAATCCTGCAAACACTCAGAGAGGTAAATGCACTCGTATGAAGAATTTCATAGACTTTAGGGAAATGACCCACTTGATTTGTGATCCAAACATGCGTCTTCTTGGAGAGTTGACAGCCATTTCCTTGGGCCCCTTACAACCGATACTGTATCTCTACAAAAGCATTCTCACAGTACAGACAGATGATTTAGAAACGCATTCATGATTTACTTTGCTACCAGCACCCTCTAAGAAACATGTTTCCTTACATTTATAAATGTATTACAATCATTGAGATAGGCTTTCACAATTAATTCCCCCTGGTCAGCATAATGGCTAACAAAATCCTTTTAAATCAAATAAATATCCCATTTTCATTAAAATATGGGGTCTATAGTATCATATAAATAATAGCATGCAACTGAAAGCCAAAAACCTTTAATTTAACTAAAGATTTACAACATACTCTATTAAATCAGGAAGACCTTTGTAGACATCTTCATCATCAACACTTTCTTCTGTAGGGAAGGGCCTATAGAAAGAAAAAGCATGGATTAGAGACAACACTAGTCTGGTCACGTACGTAGTGGGGTTTGGTTTGGCTTTCTAAAATTTTCCAAACAGATTACTGCATGGTAATGTGTTTGTATGTTCCCCTCCTTCTCTGATAGTCAGTATACAGTACCTAGATTTCTATATATGAATTGATACTTAATATAATAAAAAAACCTACCGGATGGGGTTGTTATAAATCACCACGAGTACACATCGCCATCAGTTTTTCAACTGAGAATGTCAACTACTCTTTTTAGCATGGATTACAGGACTGGCTAGGGAACTTTGCCTACGTTTCAAAAACATCATCCATTCGTATATGATAAGACTGCTGCATCAAACCATTCAGAAAGGTGGAGAACACCCAAGCATGAAGTCTTGCACTTGCTCTCACAGCCCGCAATTACAGTTCATGGGGTTAGGTTTGGTTGCGGGGTGGGGGTCGGGGGGGTTGTTTCTTTTTGAAAATGAGAATCTCACAAACTTGGCAGGTTTGCTGATGTTTAGAAAGAAGAGAAAACCCATTTGCCTTGCCATCGATCAGCACTGCACCAGCCTGACTCACAACTAGCTTACAATCCACATCACAAGTATCACACAGGTTCTGCCATAGCAACTGCCCGTTTGTTCACCTCCTGCTTCAGGCGAGAAGTGAATGTAGCTCAGGCACTTCAGCAGCGAGACAGAAGATACCCTCCGGAGCTCCTCAGAGGTTCAGAGGCTTGCTTAGCTGCCCGGTGGACAATCTGGCTTACAACCAGAGAAGTTCTTACTGGGGGACAGTGCCTACGCTGCCTCTAACAACTTTTCCAAGGCACACCATGCAAGGGGCATTACTGCCACCATTCGCGGGGACAATGACCTACCTTATTCCTGTGCCTATTGCAATAGGAGTCCGGGAAAGTTTTGAAAGTGTTTCTATCACCTGGCGAAGAAGGAAACAGAAACTGTGATTAGTTGTAGAACAAAGGCAATAAAACATTTTGTTCTCTATTGTTTAATTATCAGCAACACCATTTCACATTGAATGACGAACAGACACAGAGCGTGGCTGTGCGAGACACGGAGTGTGCTGACCTTCCACGGACTTCCCACGAGCTGGTTTGCAGTGCTTTTGTACTGGGGGACGCGACGGGAGCGCCAAGAGAGGGAACGGGAAATCTCTTACGGACAAGTTTTAGCACAAGTAAAAGCCAAGTTAAATGCATTTCAAACCAGGTCATATATGCCACAAATTAGACATTCAGTTTTCAACTGGACCTGGATGCAACTGTAAGCAAATTCTACCTTACAGACTGCGCTGAATATTTTTTTCTTTACCATAGCTCCAGAAAGAAAATCCCAAAGAATTAGTTTGAGCTTTTCCAAACGCTGGCCAGAAGAGGGAGCCAAATGCCAAATCAACAGAAAGCCACCTTTCCAGGAGCGGTGGGCAAAGGAAAGGTAATCCCTCATCAGCCAAACAGCTAAGGAAAAGCCCAGGATGGCAGCAGTCTGGAAGATCTCATCCTGAGAACACAACTCCTGTAGGCACTCATGGTTATACAGCAAGAGAGGAGAACGCCAGGGAGGGCAGAATACCTGCACACACGGTCACATACATGGAGTTATTTTGCCGTCAACTGTAATAATACAAGACCAGCTTGCACTCTGCCTAGCACGTCCTCTCCACCACACATATTTTCCCTTATTCTGGGCACTATCAGATTGGCAAGTCTTATTTGCTAGAGAAACAAAAAGAGCCAAAACAACACCCTGTCTGAATTTCCAGATGTCCAACGACAAGGTTCCTTCCCCTGAACCTTCGGGTTGGGTCTTCACAACTTAAAATCTGTATTAAGCTGAAGTGAAATTTCCAAAGAAGGTTTTTATCATTAGCACCAAAATTCATTATAGCAAGTCTACATTCCACTTTGTTTATTTTTGAAGTTCTAATTACAAGACTAACCTGACCACAAAACACAGAGTTAGAAGTACATCTCTCAAAGGAAGGACGATGATGTATTTACACGGGAGAATGGCAGAGTAAAAACCACAGAGAATAATCACCAGAGTGAATCAGGTCCCTTATGCAGATGAGCACAATTCAAAATTAACTAAGTTATACTACTCCAGTGAAAGGAATATTTGGGGTTCATTTAAGCTGCTGTGAAAACTAATGTCACAGAAAATCTGGTTTTGCCTTACAGAAAAGTCAATGAATAATAAAAACAAATACATATGCTATGAACATAATCAAAGGGCAGGCATATTAATTCCCTATGAACAGAAGAACAGAATGCAGCCTAGAATACATTTTGGAAATTGTGCATAAAATTTGATTGAATAAACCATAAAGTTAACTAAAAACTCTCTCACACTAGCCAGAAGGTCAGTAAGGAGGAAGGACTGCTTGAAGAAGTCTGGCTGTTGCAGGGCAGTTCTGGTTTCTGTACCAGGCAAGAACCTGACCACCTGCAGGAGGGCCAGCACAGGACCACAAGGCCTGCTAAGCCACACAAGACATGACGTTGTGGGAAGTTAACCGAAAACCCAATAGCTGGCAAAATGATCTGTCCTGACAGACGGGTGAGCACTGGTTGGCAAAGCCAGAGGAGAAGAGGTTTAATGATTACCAAACCAGAGGTGGGCAAGTCTGATGAACTAAATAGCCCTTTCCCGTTTCAACATGTTATTTCCCAGCACACACAAAGTCTTTTGCAAACTACTCCACCCACACAAACCTTTTTCCTTAGAGGGATTCTCACTTATCTAGCATAACCAAACCCCAGGAGTATGGCTTACTGCTTACAGCTAACTCTGCCGACTTCCAGATAGCACACAAAAGGTCTGTACAAAGCAGCTACTCATTTTAGGGAGGTTAACGAGCAAGTGTTTCCAAAAAGTATCACCACGTTACATTTTACAGGTATCAAACACACACACACACAAGAGCAAGACTTATAAATTAAGAGGAATAAAAAACCCTTTTTCAGGAACTGATGTGAAACCTTGGGGGGGGCAGAACAACAACAGAAAAACCCACCCACACACTGAGGAAGCCAGAACAGTGTTTGTGAGAACGTGCCCGCACAGAAGAGGGAGGGAAAGGAACTGTATGGGTAGAGAAAAGAGAAGGCTGCCAGTGATTTTCCTGGGGCTGGGAATGGAGAAGGTCTGGCACTGCAGGGAGAGGAAGCGAACGTGCCAGGACGCCAGCAGGCAGACTTCCATGGGACCCAACACTGGGTAATGCCCTGAGAAGGTGGCAATCATGACAGCAGCCACCAGAATCCCATCAGCGACCCTGTGCGCTCTCCAGAGGTACGTGATAGACGTGGCCACGCTGGCAATGGGCAGGGATCACTATTCTTCTATTTCTAAACAGTTAAGAACTGACAACCATTAATCACCCCAGTGTATATTTAAGATTAAAATACTTAACTGAAAACAGACGTAACTTCCACAAAATAACAGGCAATGCTTGCCCCTTGACCGCTCCTATTAAAGCAAAGCTTAAGACAGCACTATGTCAAGAACAGACGGTTTCTACTGAGGGGTCTTGTTCTTGCTGCTATGGTTTCCTTAAGGAATTCTGGGAAAACACCAGGAATACTTACACGAGTAACTGTATGTGAAAGTACCGCTCCTGGTCCACACGCTATCTCGACACCACATGCACGTAAATGCATTTGCTCCATCATGAAGCGGGGCAGAGAAAGATCTTCCCTCCACGTGAAATTTCAGTTCCTTGGTTCTGAGCCACTGCAGGAACTCTTAAGAGCTCCCAAATTTCTTGGTGGATAGGGGAGGTCGCAGTTACGCATGGGCTGAGTTGTCAGAAAAGCAATCAGAGGGTCAAAGGGCGTTCATCAAATCAAAGCAAACCCAGCAAAATGTCCGATTTCCAACAAACTGACACAGACTCGGGAGGTTTGCAGAGCAGTTGTAGTGTGAAGCTGTAACACAGTGCAATTCTGAACTCCAAAATTACAGCGTGCCATACTCATGAGCGTCCATAACACTCAATTTAATGCTTCTCATGGGCTTTTTTGCCTCACCCTCTTCCTTTCAGCGGAGCTTTAATCCGTTTTACCCAGTTAACCCTAAATGATTGCCCAGTTCTCTTCCACAGCAAGGGCTCAGACAGATGCTCCTGTACATCTGAATGGGGCCAGACTGGATCTCAGGCTCCGTGCAAAAGGAGCGCTCCTTGGCCGTACGGAGCCCAGAACGGGGCTTCCATGGCCAGCACGGCTCTGCAAGCCCCGGCTGTACAGAGGGCGGCTCGGCCTGGGCACCCACGCTGTGCCAGGAACAGGCACTGGAAACCAGACACGGAGCAAAGGTTTGTGTTTACCTGCGGGCTGGCTACCACGCATGAAAACAAGAAGTGTATGTTCTAAAACACCCTGCAACAACTACATCTCTTCACGCCGAAACACCCAATAACCCTAGGACTCTCCGGCAGCCCAGCTGAAACTGGGAGGCGTCAGCAAGGGACCGCCCGGCACAGAAGGAAGCCCCACCTGCCTCGGCAGAGCTCCTCTGCACCCACAGACGCCCTCGGAGGTCGAGCAGCTCCTCAGAAGTCCCATCAAAGCCACACTCACTTCGAGAAGGTATGAACGTGAAGTTTGTTTGTCAGTATATAGCCGGTTGATGCAAAATAAGGCATGAAATTCAAATCCACGGCCCTGCAAGAGGAAGCGCACCTCAGCCCGCACCCCGGTGAGGGCTCTGCTCCTCACTGACGTTTCGGGCACAGCCGGCAAGAGCAACAGTCTCACGCTACACATTAACTTCTTTTTTTTCTCCCCATGAATTACTCAAACAGCAGATTTTTTTTTTTTTGCTTGATATTTAGTATCCTTTCACTTGACTCTCCAGTTTATGTAAGCACTTTCATATCCCCTGCCGAAACATCATTTTGTAATCTCCTGCAGCCATCCTCGTCAGCGCGTGAAGGCAGATATCCCCGTGCAGGCTCACCGCAGCGGCGCGCTAGAGGAACTGCGCTACCTCTGTCCACAGCAGTGGCGCGTCTGAGTTTAAGACGTGCCCTACCAAGTGTTCTGGTGGGGTCACCTTTTAATCTCGTTTCTTAAAAAAGAAGTTAACAAATCATGCTGTCCAGGAACCAAGTACATCCTAAAAGTACTTCTCCACTTCCAGCAGAAACAGAAGTAAATAATTTCTCAGCTCCCTGTCTCCCCAGACCGGCGACATCGCTACTGACGGCCGTGTCAGGACTAGGCCCGTACTTGCATTCCTGATGCTTACCTAAACTGAAAGGGGTCAAGAAAAGTCAATGGCAACAGTTTCGCAGTTCATGCCAATAAAACCTAGAGAGGCTCACTCACGGGTTAGATCTTCAAAGCAGTGGTTGCACGCGTGCACTTAAATCAGGGTATGTTTCTCTAAGACACAGTGAAAGTCACCGAGAATTCACAGCCGCACCACATACCGAGTCTTTTTACAAAATCTGGGCATCCTGCTTAGTATCTGAGCGCTGCACTGCGCTGAAAGCTTACACTGCATTCCCTCCCTTGCAGTGAATTTATTTAGCAGATACATACAAACAGCTTAGCGTAACATAAAGCAGTTATTTGCCAATGAAAAACCTTTCCAATATCAACCTACTTTTGGAGATGCTGCTTCTTGACACACGCACATGGCTGCAGAAAGGCGAGGAGTCCTGACATCACACGTGCACGTACTGACGACCTGGGCACAGACGCACGCTGCCCAGAGCGCGGGGCGGGCTATGGGGAGGAAAAGCTGAAGCAGTAGGAAGCCGGTGCTCCCAGAGCAGAGCAGGCACGCTCTGATGGCTAGGGCGAGTCCCTGGCACGGCCAGATTACGCTGTTTTCACCCAGACATCAGATTGGGGGGGTGAGAAAAAGAGAAATCATCATTTTGCATCTCTGTCACTCAGAGAGGAG